TGAGAGAGGGAAGTAACCGGCCACATATTCTTCAACAAAAGATTTACCCATTTGAGAACAAAGCAAAATCAAATTAGGAAAGTGAGATGAATGAATTTTTGTATGTTGAGGCATATTTGGAAGAAATTGAAAAATGAGACACGGTAATTTTTGTTTTGTTTGATCACGAGAAATTCACAGATGAGAGTGTTGGAACGCCAAGTTGCACTACCGATTTTTGTTCTCTATTCTTTTTTTTTATATTGATTAATATATCCGGATTTTTATTCTTGATGTTCCTAGTGACTCAAACTCTTGAAATAGACAATGTAATTAAGGACATATTCAGTAACTGTTAATCTATCGAAAAGCAAGATCTATTACTAATGGTCATTGACCCTTTTTGAGGACGTGAATTCTTTTTCCACAAGATACTCCGAAAAGCCATGTGTGTCTTAACATATCTCACCAATTGATGAAAGAAGACACTTTTGTAATATGTGAAGTTCTTCCTGTTAAATAAATTCATAAAATAAAAATTAGGATATAGTTTGCTCGATAATTAGAAAAAAACATAACTTCTAATTGAGCCACCGTCTGCATTTAAATAGGGTTGACACTGGATCTTTCAAAATTAAGATTCAAAAAAGTAATCCGGATCGAAATTGGTAAACCCATTTCCTTTCTTGAAGAGAAACCTTCAACCCAAGCCTTTTTTACCTTAATGCATACTTACCGTAAGTTACAACCCATGAAACTCCTCAAATACAAATGTGTCGCAATTGAAAAGCAACAAATATAAATCATTATGATATTTGGCCGATGTTCGTAAAAATAACATTACGTCATACTGTGATTTGCTATATCCATCGACGTGGAAACTACAGCGTAAAATATTTTGACGAGGAGGTTAGCACGCAACATTTGCAAGAGCTTACACAGGGATTATAGGAAGTGCATAGCAAAAGGGCCACCAGACCCTTTTCTCCAGGCGGCAAGGTGAGCCGACTTGGAGAAATGACCAGTTTAGCTGGATGTAAGCAATTACTACATCACCCGTCCTCCAAGCTCCCCTCTCGCACTGCTGAGCTGGCATGCCACTCAACTTCGGACATGTGGTACCACCTTCAACTTCAACCCTATTCTCATATAAATAAAAACCCCCCCTCTCTCTCTCGTTTTCATTCCTTCGTCAATCCATTCGTTCGATCAAAGATCCGAGGCTTCAAGCTTCCGGGGTTTCCTTATCCCTTTTGAACGTGGATTTTTTTTATCTCATTTCGAAAAGAGAGAAATGCTGACGTCACATTTGGACGTGGATTCTTTATTCCACGAGATGCTTTCGAAGGTCATAAGTGTCTCGACATATCTCAATCGTTGATACATGCTTCATTTACTCGGCAATTTGTGGAAGGACTCTCAAATTTGCCAATCGGACACTCTATCGAGCGAAAAGAGCCGACACCTAACTTAGCATAACATCTAAACTAAGCGTCACTCATCAGGGCACGAATAAGCAACGACATAGCTTTTCACTCTATGGATGAAGCTGAGGAACGAATGGCATGGATTTCCATGGCGACGTGCGAACTTTTTGACTGGAGCTGCAGGGGAGAGAGACGACAGAGAAGAAGAAGAAGAAGAAGAAGAAGAAATTGTGGGAAGAAATGATTGAATGACCTGGGAAGGAGAAACTTCTATAAAAACTCATCGGAAAATTGTCTATGCATAGTGTCTGTTTTTTGTACCTGGGTAACATTTGGTCATTTTTCATCGAACGTTGAAATTGAGACTTTTGGTGAAGGCGATACGTGGACCAAAACACCCCCGGTTCGAGAAAAGCTCTTAATGCCATCTTCTTTGCATCCTCCGCTTCTCAGCTCAGCGCAGCGGACAATCGTGGTCAGTCTCCCGTTCACACGGACGAAAAGTTTCGTTTTGCGGCCGTCTTAAAATGGGCCCTCACATCTTCCCTTCTTCTTCTTCTTTTTTTTTTTAAGGTCAAACATTTTCCCTTCTTTGTCTTTTTTCGACATCTTCCCTTCTTTTTGCTTTTTTGATCGAAATCTTCCCTGCTTTGAAGTCGGCTTATTCTCCCCTAAAACTCGACTGCAGCCTCTACTTCCTGAAGCACTCATCTCAGGTGAATCACTTTTTTCCACATTTCTTTCTCTTCTTCTTCTCTGTCTCTCCAGGAGGCAACGTCGGAAGGTTAATGGATAACGACAGTCCAGCTGATCTCGGTGGTCGGAGGTAAGCTTCAGCGACCTCAAACATGCCATAAACTCCTCCTGTAAGTTGGAGGATTGTTCTGACCAAACAAAAAAGTTGGAGGATTGCGACTAAAATCATGCCAAAATCTGGATTTCCTTCCTGTTCCTATATCTGATCATGCCCACTGTGTATATTCCACCACGTGAATACTGTTTTGTTGGGAAAAAACCCGCAGCCTATGTAGATCAGGTGAGGTTGTTGATCAGTGATCTTGTATGTTCAACACTCAGGAGCTCGATTCCAGGTGTAGCACTTAGAAACCAAGACTAAGGTAAAAGCTACTGGGGTCTCAAGTAGAAGCTAGAAACCGAGACTTGGGTACATTCCCGGATGGAAACTTTGGTTCATGCTCGGTACAAGACTGACTGATCACCGAGCTTGTATCTGAGTCTCGGGTAGCTTGAGACTCGGTTTCTACTTGAGTCTTCTACCGAATGCCCGAGACTTGGTTTCTAGGTTCTACCCAAGACTGAGCTTCTACCCAGTAAGCATGGGCTTTACCTGGTTGTTTATACACACTCTGTTTTTGAGAAGAAAAATTCTGTCACATTGATGAAGAGACACGACTGTAAATACACTATGTTTCTTTCTTTTGTCAACAGAAACTCATATTAAGAACAACATAATAATAAAAAATCTTATTCGCTTTTCCTCCTAAGAAAAGATAAGACCTGCAATTTGCTTTACTCTGTTTCTACCCAGTAAGCATGTGGGCTTACCTGGCAGTTTTGTGTGTCTGGGTGGTCTTGTTTTGTGAATAAGTGTCGTAAGAAAAGGTTAGGAAAGGTTTGTAGGCGTTAAGGGTGTATCTCCTAGTTTTCTGATGTTACATTTTGTCCAAAAGAAGAGTTTTTTCATTAGCTTAGTTAGCTGTGCTTCAACAGATGGGTTACACTCCTGCAGTGCATACACAGGTTAGACTCCTGCAATGCATAGACTCGTTAGCTATGATTTGCACCAGAAGCTTGGTGTCATACCGCGCAGTAATTTCTTTTTAACTTAAATTGGTAGTTTTGAAAGCTTTTGGATAGACTGTCGTCTTATGATGCAGAAAGAGCTAAACACTCGAGCTTCTCCAAAAGAGTTTACACTAACAAGTATTTTGCTGATTTTATTTCCTAGACGTGGAGCAGAGCATGCGAATGGAATTGCTGCGATTCATTTCCTGGAGAGGATCGTTCTAAAGATCCTGATTGGTGCCATAGGAATCACAGGTATTCCAGCCATAACTAACCTTGAAGCCATCGTGTGTATCTATATACTGCTCATAATTGTCGGGCAGTTACTAATCGTCAAGATGGGAAGGCACGATATGGATCCAAGGTTCCGCTTTACACTCGCTGGCATCATTGTTGTTCTTAGATGCGTCAGGTGCGGTCTGCTGATATACATTCCGCTTCATGTCATGCCTTGGCCGATTTTCGTTCTCCGCTTCCTTCAGTTGATGAACCCATAAGCATCCACCACGAATTAGAAAATTGTGATGGCTTTCGATTTTCCTAATATTGTGGTTTGCTCTATGGGAAGTTGTTATTGATATGCATTGTGCTAATGTTGGCCGGAACACGGACCTTGTGTTCTACTATTATTACCTTCGGGACATGAACCTTATGTTGTACACCTAAAAAGCATAATATGTGATGTGATGAAGAAAATGGTACTATTTAGTTAAGATCCCTGTGCAATACAATGAAGTTGAAGACAAGGGTTTTTTTTTTCTTTGGATAGAGAGAAATAGGAGAATCGATTCATAAAATTTGAGAAAGAATCGCATTATCCTCATTCACTAATCTTCTGCTCCACAAATTGCAATTTAGACGAAGTTCGTAACCTAATGCTCATATGCAACCTCAACAATTTTCGAGGCACTATCTTACCATGAACATCGAGTCACAAATGAAAATCACTAGGCTTGGCATAAAGGAAGCATGCAACATGTGAGAGAGGGAAATAACTGGCCACATATTCTTCAACGAAAGATTTACCCATTTGAGAACGAAGCAAAATCAAATTAGGAAAGTGAGATGCATGACCTTTTGTATGTTGAGCCATATTTGGAAGAAATTGAAAAATGAGACAAAGTAATTTTGCTTCAATAAAAGTATTGGGCCTGATCCATTGACATGAAGAGTCAAATGCCGTCACTTTGCCCAAATACCCATGACGTTTTGCAGTAAAACTATGCGAACAGCCCTCAAAATCCCATAGCAAATCACAAGAAATTCCGTTTGCCTACGCCTTGTCTTGTTCGATCCCGAGAAACTCATAGATGGGAGTGTTTGAACACCGAGTTGTACCCCCAAGATCTGTTCTCTATATTTTTTTCTTTCTTTTGGTTAACATATCGTGGTTTTTATTCTTGACTTTCCTAGTCACTCAAACTCTTGGAATGGACAATGTAAATAGGGACATATTCAATGACGGTAAACTTATCGAAAAGCAAGATCTATTGTTGATAGTCATTGACCTTTTTTTGAATGGTGCTAATCCTTTCAATTCCCGACTGACCACCAGCTTTTAAGATCCTTTCTTCTGGAATTTGCCTTCTATCAGAACCACTGCCACTTCTCGCAGCACTTCCCACCCAAATTTATTAAACCACTCAAAGTTTGATTACCAAAAAAAAACTTCCTGTTGGCTTCCTAAAAAGTATCTTACTGATGACATACACAGCGTTTCATTTTAGAGCGAAGCAAAGTCAATTTCTTTGCCATCATTGAGATGATAGTGCTACCAGGATCACTCACCCGAGAGTTCAGACCATATTCTGGTATGATTAGATGGAATCTCGGAAGCACTTGTTCTATTCCTCTCTGACTGTTCTCCAGAAGCTTCCCCAGTATCAGCCTGGCCCGGCATTCCATTTGCTAAAGGTCCAGTATTACCTTCATGTAATTGTGATGTGAGCATTGTGGCCAATACAAGTGTAGCATCAAAATTGGAAGAGGCCCCCTCACCAATGCCAAATTTAGGGGCCATCAAAATAGGCCTGTTTCCTAAAAACATGCAGCTGTATCAAGTTCTTTTCTTTTTTCTATTTTGCATTTAGTTGCACTTATGCCCCTCTGTGATGGTGGAGATGTTGCGCCAAGAATGAGTACCAAAAAGAAAAGTCAAAAGACATACATTAACCATCAGTTGGACTGATATTTTTAGCTGGCATACTTTACTAGCATCTTGCATTAAGCTTGATAAATAAACCATTTACCATCCGAACTTAAACTGCCTTAAACTATTATTATCCAAACTTGATTTGAAGCTGCACTACGTTTTGTCGACCTTTTATTGATAGTCTCTTGTTTTTTGACATTTAGCCAGTAGTAAAATTGTCATGGGCCTTTACGATTTTGATTGTGAAGCTATGCATTAGCATGTTTTAGATCTCTGAGCAGATAACTAGCAACCATTCATCTATAAAACCAGTTATGGACTGATTGCACGAAAACTACTTGTTGCATCTCAGCTACTTGCACAACAAAATTGAAGTGAAGCATGAAAAAAAATGGATAGAAGGTGAGATACATGAGAACATTTAGAATTTACTTACTCGCCGGCCTTCTCAAAGTACAAATGAATGTCCACTTCACATCCCTCACAGACTGCAAGAAATGCCTGGATTTCCATGAGATGGACAAAGGTTAAAAATTATCATGTTCGCTGGAAAATGCAAGGAAAAACTTCAACATAAAAGATGGTACTGAATGTGACTCCAATAGCATTTTGGCAATTAGGTGAACTCATTTTAAGGAAATGGAGATAAGTTTGAAAGTGAAGTCATATGTCCAAGAACTTTCAGCTGCATTTATGACCCAAATATCTTGATATCTGATATAATAAAAAACAAATTAGATTGAATACCTTCAACTCTTTGACAGCATAAGTCATGTCTACTGGGTTGCCGCTATGAGCATACTGCACAAACTATTCCGCAGGATCTTATTACAGCTGAGTGTGCAGCAAAGAGTCGCTCTCTGCAACCAGAATCTGAACACTTCTCCATATTCGATTGAAAAGAATAAAGTTAATCTCTACCTTTGGCAGGATCAATGAGGCTTCGGAACTCAACAGCTTTCCCACCAAATTCACTTGCAGCATCAGAAGGATCAGAGTTGTGTTCAGTTGCAATGATAGTAATTTCCTGAAGGGATGACTGAAAATTTGCGAGTAATCTGTTCAGATCATGAGGCCCCACTACAAAATTGCTTGGGTATCTTCTCCTATCCAGAGATAATTGTTGTATGTCAGGGTCAACATTGCAAGTAATCCAGTATGTTTTCTTAATGCCTGCAGACATATCACAACATCACATATGCATGAACAAAAACTCACAGTTGGCGCAGTGAGATAAACATGTATCTCTGCATGGTGCAGCTTCTTAACAAATTAATGCAGGTTTGACAGGTGCCAGCCTCCGATTTATATTGCAGTTAGATAACATACTGAATAGTATGTAGTTAGCATGACTGAATCAAAGACTTAAAATGGTAAGTGGCCAGCAAAAAAAGAAGTAGAAGTGGTAGACATTGGAATCTAATTTTTAAAAATAAACTTCCCTGTCTCTTTATCTGAATTTGTTGGCTTTATATGTCATATTGGGGCTTTGAAAAATCCGTTTGACAGAGTTCACTCTGCTTTTACATGATGAGAAATTAGAAAAGCTCGTCTCTGTGGACAGTATAACATGACGTATAAATGCTTCTCACAGCATTTTGCAGTCATTTTCTCTCAATGAACAAGTCAGTTTCAATACTTCATTTCCGCTGTTTTTCCATGGAATTGGAGCGAGATTACTTTTAGGGGGAAAAAGGAATCCGCTAACTTTTCCCTATGTGTCAGAAGCTTGCAATCTTAACCATCAAATACACCATTTCCAACATAATGAATTCAGAGCACCATGCACACAACTGAAAGGTCTTTACCGTTGAAGCACTGCAGAGCCCACTGAACTTTTGATGCATTGATGTCTGGTAATTGCACACTCAAATAATCAATGTTTGTAATAGGTGTTCTAAGGACAGAACAGACTGCCTGCACAGAGTATTTTGTAAGTATTTTGCACAGAGGATTTTTATTTTGTAAGTTGCTTACAACTATAAACTGACAAATATACTAGAAAGATGAGCAACGACAATATACCTTTAAAAGAACACTGCATAGAACCTGTGCGCCAGATTCTGTAAACACATCAAGGAGGTCTGGCTTGAAGGTTATAAATGGATAGGCAAATCTTGACAAATTGAGTGTGTGAAAGGAAAGCTGGAGTTTGAATACAAATATCAGAATCTTAATCTGATATCCACAAGTAAGAAGGCGATATTTGTACACAGTTCAATACTATTTCTATTCTAGTTTCAAATCAGCACAAATAGTGGCAAGTGCCAGACACGAGCTTAGAACTTGGAACTTCTATTGTTATTTGGTAGTTAAATGCGACGAAGCATGAGGAAGTTATGGAAAAGTATGGTCATACGAGAGTTATGCTAGCGAATGCAATCGTGCTTTCACTTATTCAGCGTTGCAAACCTCCATACAAGACCATCAAAGTAACTAGACAAACCAGGAAAGCATTATCAAGACAGAATAGCAGCACCCATAGAAGGTTATCCATAGGGTTTGTTTCCTATGGTTTCACCATTCGACATTTTCTGCGGGTAGCAACGATAGTTCTCCTGGGTATAGCTGTGAATTGCTTTAGTCTTATGATATGATGCCTTTACAATCACCCTACCAACAGTATTAGATTCTTTCAACGAAATGACTTGAGACTATACGCACGTCAAGTTCTAATCATCATCGGACAGGGCCAATCACAAACTGGGTTGACAAGTTTCTGCCTCAAATCCACCGCCAAAAGCTTCACGCGCTCGGCAATCGGTTAAAGGGACTCTCAAATTTGTCAATCGGACACTGTATCGAGCTCAACGAGCCAATACCCAACACAGCATAGCATCATCTAAACTAAGCATCACTCGTCAGGGCGCACGAAGAAGCAACTGCTTAGCTCTTCACTCGATGGATGAAGCTGAGGAATGATCGACATGGATTTCAGTGGCGACCCGCGAACGTTTCGACCGGAGCTGCGGGTGAGAGAGACGGAGAAGAAGAAATGTTGGAAGAAACGATTGAATGATCTGGGAAGGAGAAGCTTGAATAGCGAGGTCGTTTCCGACGCGGGGGAGGCAAGTGATGGAGCGAGCGAAGGCCTTCGAGACGTTGCCGCTGAGGAGGGTGAACTCCATTTCTTGGGTCCTTCGCTTCCCTCTCTGCGCTGAAGGTGCAGATTTTCATGAGGTGGTCGCTAAAAAAATTGGCGGGTTTTAAGGTGAGACTGCTTCCATGTCACCCAAGCCCGGTGCTTAAATATCAGGTAGCAGTTAGGAGATCCAATGACGACATCAAAAACTACGTATAATTAGGGTTAAATAATGCAACTCAATCATAGATTAGTTACTCCCAATTTTAAATATAGACTATCTCATAACATGATTTAACTGCATTTGATTTGACTGCATTTGATATTACATCAAAAACTCCCTGTTTCTCCGATTTCATTAAATTTTATGAGGATCTTAACTAAGTAGTACCATCGTCTTCTTCTTCATCATCATCATCATCATCATCATATATTTTGCATTGTGATGTAAAAAGTGATTAAAGTAATAATAGTACAACATGGGCTGATGCTCAAGCTAGCATTGTCAAGACGCGCATCAAAACCAGCTTTTTGCACACAACAACATTAGAAAAAATCGAAGACTGTCACCATTCTCTAATTAATCCTCGGGTTCAATTTCGAATGGGATTATAAACATCAGGACGTAGGGAATGGGAATCAACCAAGGCATGTCACCAAGCAAAATATACATCAGTTGACTGCACACGACACATCCGAGAGCAACAGAGATGAGAACTTACGCAAGTTGGAAACTTAGGCAGATCATGACAAATTGAGTGCGTGAAAGGAAAGCCGGCGGTTGAACACGAATATTAGAATCTTAACCTGATATCTACAAGCAATAAGGTGATATTTTGTATACAGATCAATGTTTTTTCTATTCCAGTTTCAAATTAGCACAGATAGTGCCAAGTGCAAGACATGAGTCCAGGGCTTGGAACTTCTATTGTCATATGGTAATTAAATGCGACGAAGCAAACATGAAAAATATGGACATACGAGAGTTATGCAAGCAAATGCGATCGGGCTTTCACTTATTGAGAGTTGCAAAGCTCCATACAACACCATCAAAGTAACTAAACGAACCTGGTAAAGCATTATCAAGACTGAATGGCAGCACCCATAGAAGGTTATCCATAGGGTTTTTCTCCTATGGTTTCACCATTCAGCATTTTCCGCGATTAGCACTGATAGATCTGCTGGCTATAGATGTGAATTACCTTAGGATATAATGACTTTGTTTTACCCTATCAACAGTATTAGATTCTTTCAATGACTTCAAATTTATGCACGTCAAGTTCTAATAATTTTCAATAGGGCCAATCACAACCTAGGTTAACAAATTCATGCCTCAATTCCACCGCCAAAAGCTTCACGGACCCAGCAATCGGTCCAAGGACTCTCAAATTTCTCAATCGGATACTAAGCCATCGAAACGAGCCAAATATCTAGCACAACATAACATCTAATCCAAGCATTATTCAATGGGGGTCGAGTAAGCAACTACTTTGCTTTTCACTCAATGGATGAAGCTGAGGAATGATTGACATGGATTTCAGTAGCGACCGTGAAATTTTTGACCGGAGCTGTGGGTGAGAGAGACGGAGAAGAAGAAGAAATGTTGGAAGAAATGGTGGAAGAAATTGAATCACCTGGGAAGGAGAACCTTGGTTAGCGAGGCCGTTGCCGACGCGGGGGAGGGAAGTGATGGAGCGAGCGAAGGTCTTCAAGGCGTTGCCGCTGATGAGGGTGAACTCCATTTTTCGAGTTCTTTGCTTCCCTCTTTGCACCGGCGGTATAGATTTGTATTATTTTGCTAATAATACATTTATAAATCGACACAATTAAAATGTTTATGATTGAATTGACCGTCTTACAATGAATTTTGGACTTTTTGGACAATTATTCCATTAGAAAACTTTTGCTCGCAAGCTTACACTAAAACAGTATGTCACGTAAGAAATATTTCAATTGATTTTTTCATTAATTAATCAATTATTACATAACACAATGATTATCATTTTTTATGATTTATCATTAGATAGAATGAAAAAAATAACAAATTTAGTAACTTAATATAATATGTTTATAAAAAACGAAATCAAATTAGTTATGTTCTTATACAGAAGCTTCGATAATTAAAAACATAATTCATTCATAGTAGCATCATTTTCAAACTTTATCACAAGATCAAGTCGAAATTATTTATGTTCTTTAAAAAAAATAACAATAATTGGTATCTTATAATTTTCGTCCTTTTGTTTCGAGACGTATTAAGTTATTTCGTGGGCAGTCGTCCAAAGAAAATCAATGTAAAGCCATAAACATTCGCTTCATTTCACCCGGGTCGGTGCGACCCGCGACTTGATCGAAAGGCGAGGGCAATACCGTCATTCGCGCGCATTCGTATTCATCAGTGATGGGGAATTCATCAGCG